TATTCTTCTTTTAAGAGCTCGCTCAGACATCCAAGGAAGGTTTGGACCGTCTTTGGTCTGCTGACCTCTGGTGGAAACTACGAATGGCAGGAAATGATGTCATCACAGCGAGAGTGGCGAGCCAGGTAAACAGACATAAGTTTAAATACTTCTGGTTACAAGATAACTTACACTCATGAACTTGCTGAATTAGCACAGATACTTCATTATGTTTTATAACAGGCAAATTAAATGACATCATATCATCTTGAGCACTGGCGTTGTGAGCGTTGTCGTACAGAAGCAGACCTGCTCACCTGTTCTCAGGTTCAGTGGAACTCCTCGTATTCCTGCTTCTTGGCGGCGGCCATCTTGACACAACATTGTTGCTGTAAACCTGTTGAGGATGTGACAAAGTTAGAAGTTATCGCCTGTTTTTAATCATCAAACAACTGAAACTAAACTGATCAGAAACACTTGAACTAGCATGTTCGGTCCATGTGCTAACATGACTCAGCACGGACAGTTTTCACTTTCCTAGAACCACAAAGGTTAAAGTTTCTAGTGAATCTGTAGCAGAACACAGATGACATACAAACTGCATGTCAACACACAATCCTTTCAAATCACGCTCAGACATCCAAGGAAGGTTTGGACCGTCATCGGTCTTCCGACCTCTGGTGGAAACTACGAATGGCGGGAAAAGTCGTCATCATAGCGCGGGACACCACATTTCTTAACCAAGTTCAACCACAGCCGACGTTTACCAACCTACATGATGCACGTGTCGGCGTCCACTGGGTCACCGGTGCCGCTGGACTCTTCAGGAAAGAGGCGGGAGCTGCAGAATTAAAACTCTGGAAATGTAAAAACAAAACCGGTTTTAAAGCAGAAGACAACGAGTGTTACAGACTGTGCAATTAAAAGCTTGTATGACGCATTCAAAATAAAAGTTCTTTAACAATTTATCATTTAATTCGAAACACTGAGGCTACATTTAAATTTGAAAACGCTTCCACTCCAGGAACTGACCTCAGGTCTCAGCACCTCCACCACGTGCTCAGCTGCTCGTGTTAGTCTGAATGGACCTGAAGCAAAGTGAGTTCAGTCTCGTGTTAAACACGTCACTGTTCATTAGAAGCCCGAGGTTCCCTCTGGACCCTCCGGAAGCAGCGGATCGAAACTTCGTGGACGAAGTTGAGTTTGAATCCTCAAACATCCGCAGATCAAAGAGTTCAGCCGAGGAGAAGGTGCGCGAGCTTCTCTTCTTCAGGTGGAGTCTGAACATCCAACCTCTTCATTTCACCACGAACATTCAACATCAGGAGCTTTACCGTCTCATGGCGGAGTCCTCGCTCCTCAGCTGCTGCTGCTCAGCTGCTCCTCACACGTGTGGTCCACCCGCTGTTCGAGCCCCGCTTTGGTCCAACAGGGCGGAAGTGGTGCGGCTCCTCACCGCCTCACCGCCCCCTGCTGGACTGGAGGGACAGCGACACCCAGGATTCCAGATGTTTAAAATCACACAGATGTGTGAACAGAAAAATAAACACACAACAATTATTCTAAACAAAAGAAAGGATATAACTGTACTTAGTGATAAACATGACATCTGTCT